TGTTAGTCTACGGAAAATTTTATTTGATAATTTTACAATCAGAGACGCGGAAGTGTGGCTGAAACGAATAGAAAAACAAATTAGATTATGTAAACGGGTAATTCGTAGTAGAAGGCAAAATAAATTATCTGTAGGGACCTGTAGAAAAGTAGAAACAAATTTGGGGCATTTTAAACATTTTAGAAAGTTGATTTTAACTAGACATATTGGGGCAGGACTTCACTTAACATTGGGTCAGAGGGTTAGATGGGAAAATGTAGAATCGAGCTTTCAAAGTAGAATAAAAACCGGTTCCATAGCTAATTTGCGTCATAAGGACTTGAATCAATTTTTAGCAGATTGTGTAGTTGTTTTTAAAAGGAAAATTAGGAATATTTTGAACACCCATTGTGCGCTCAAAGTAAATACAACATTTTGCGGGGAGTTTATTAGGAAATCGGGGGATAATGAAATTTTGGGAATTAAATATATTAATACTAAAAATCATATTATTGATACATCAACTCAAATAGACGAGTGGTTTAAGATATATGTTAAAGATAAACTTTTAAACGAATTATCGGAATTTGCTGAAAAAGATTCGGGATTTGCGTTAAATAAAATTATTTCCTTAGTTGTTAATATCAGTAAATATCAATTGGGAAACGGTTCATCTTATATTAGACTACCAGAACCGATTATAAGGAAAAATGCTTGTATAAACATTAAAAATATAGATCAAAATTGCTTTTACTGGGCCATTGTAAGCGCTCTTCGGACTCCTAGCAATAAAAGACATGCAGAACTAACCTCCTCATATCCACACTTTACTGACGTTTTACAAACAGAAAATTTAGATAGTCCTATGCTGCTAACAAAAATTTCAAAATTTGAAAAGATGAATAACATTTCAGTCAATGTTTACGCTTTAGAATTGATCGAAACAGAAAAAAAATCATTTTACATAGTAGTACCAGCAAGATTAACGGAAAATAAACGGGATACGCATGTTAATTTACTTTTAGCTCAAAATAAATATTATCCGCGTTTAAATGATTATGATGCTCCTCCACCACTAGCGAATGAAGATAATGATTCAATCGATGAAATTAAATATCACTATTGTTGGATTAAAAATCTTTCGCGTCTTATTAGTAGCCAGTTAAATAAACATCGTGAGAAAAAATTTATTTGCGATAGATGTCTGAACTATTTCCATCAGCAAAATAAATTAGTTGAACATGAAAAACTGTGTTCTAAATTTAATAAATATAAAATTAACCTTCCTAAAGAGAGCTGCGTTGAATTTAAAAACTTTACATACCAACAAAATACTCCTTTTGTTGTTTATGCAGATTTTGAATGTCAATTAGAAAATCATAAAGAAAGTAGCGTCGTAAATTTAACTAAAACCATAAAATATCAAAAACACGTTCCGTATAGTGCTGGTTTCTATGTAAAATGCAGCTATGATGATAGCCTTTCTTATTTCGAGAGCTATCGAGGTGCAGATTGTATGGATTGGTTTGCAAATCGTATGGCTGGTGTTGCGCAATTTGTAAACTCAAAAATAAAAACAAGCGTACCTATGATTGAAAAATTAGACACATGTAAGGCAACATCATGTCATATTTGCGGTAAGAGATTTTCAAAAACAAAAAAAGACATAATCGTTAGAGATCACAACCATTTCAGTGGAGAGTTCAGAGGTTACGCACACCAAGCATGCAATCTGAACTTTAGAAAATTGTTTGTTGTGCCGGTTATATTCCATAATTTAAGTGGGTACGATAGTCACTTTATGATTTCGAATTTATGTAAAAAAGGTCGCTTAAGTCTACTTCCCATCAACAAAGATAAATACATCTCCTTTACGCTGCACTCAGATGAAAATAACATTAAATTGCGGTTTATAGACTCTTTTCGATTTATGGGGGCGTCTCTTGATGAATTAGCTTCAATTTTAGCAGAATCAGAAAAGAAAATTTTACAAAGGGAATTTCAAAATTTAGATGAAGATAAATTCAAATTATTAACACAGAAAGGAGTTTTCTGTTACGATTACATTGATTCGTTGAAAAAATTAAATGAAACGACTTTGCCCCCAATTGAAAAATTTTACAATAAATTAAACGATGAAAGTGTAAGTGACGAGAAGTATGCTCATGCGCAATCTGTTTGGCAACAGTTTAACATTAAAACATTAGGAGAGTATTCTGATATATATTTAAAAACAGATATTCTGCTTCTTGCCGACGTTTTTGAGCAATTGCGTAAAAAATGTTTCTCCACCTATGGTCTGGATCCTGCGTGGTACTATACAATGCCCGGATATACGTGGGACTGTATGCTCAAATACACTGGGTGTAAGTTAGAACTACTAAAGGATCTAGATATGGTGATGTTTTACGAAAATGCTATAAGAGGTGGAATTTCGGTGTGTAGCAACCGATTTTCGGAGGCCAACAATAAATATATGCCCGAATATGATCCTGAAAAGCCGTCCAAGTACCTTATGTACCTGGATGTGAATAGCTTATATGGGAATGCTATGCAGCAACCCTTACCCTACGGAGGGTTCAAATGGGTAGATGATGTAACATCGTTTGATGTGATGTCAATACCCGACGACTCTGACGTAGGGTACGTGCTACAAGTCGATCTATCGTACCCACAAGAACTGCACGATAAACACAAAGATTTTCCGTTTGCGGCAGAACGTAGCGTACCACCCAGCGACGGCGGGGTAAAATTGCCGAAATTAATGGCAACACTTACGGATAAAAAAGAGTACACGGTTCACTATAAAAATTTAAAACAAATGCTAGCTAATGGGTTAAAGTTAACGAAAATCCATAAAATTTTACAATTTAAACAAGCAGCCTGGCTGAAACCCTACATCGAGTTGAATACTCGATGTAGAGCTGCAGCCCGGAATGATTTCGAAAAAAATCTTTTTAAATTAATGAATAATGCAGTATTCGGTAAGACCATGGAAAATATACGTAAGCACCGCGTATGTAAAATCGTTAAATCTTGGGGTGGTCGCTATGGGGCAGCAAACTTGATTTCGAGTTTTCGGTTCCACAGTCGCACAATTTTAGAGGAAAATCTGGTGGTTATCGAATTGAACAAGGCTGAAATAACGTTTAACAAACCTCTGTATGTAGGGCAGGCAATTCTAGACCTATCGAAACTAGTCATGTATGATTTTCATTACACCTATATGCTACCAAAAATGGGTGCAGAAAGGTGTAAGCTCATGTACATGGACACAGACAGTTTTATCTACGAATTGCAATGTGAGGATGCATATGAGGAGATCATTAAAGCTGATTCCAGTAAATTTGATACTTCGGATTATCCTGAAAATAACATATATAAAATACTGCGTAAGAACAAAAAGGTGCCGGGTCTAATGAAAGATGAAAATAACGGTAAAATTATGACACATTTTGTTGGACTTCGAAGCAAAATGTATAGTTACAAGGTGCAGGGTGGGAAGGTGGTTAAAAAATCTAAAGGGGTTAAGTACAATGTTGTTAAAAATAAAATTGCATTTGAGGATTATGTTGAATGTTTGAAAGAATTTAAGGAAAAAACAGCTACACAACGCTGTATCAGGTCGTATGCACACAACGTATATTCTGTTGAACAGTCAAAAATTAGTTTAAGTCCGTATGACGACAAACGTTATTTAATTCCGAACAGTTTTGACACACTTCCGTGGGGGCATTACAGTATCTTATAATAGCGTTTTTTTTTGTTATAGATGAATGCCCCAACATTATCAGAGTTAGCTGTTAGAAAAATTTGCGAATCAATAACATCATCAGCAGTAGAATTCATGGAGCAGTCTCCACTACCATGGAAATTAACTACGGAAATTGTGAAACAATTTCCTTTATATAAATGGCACGCTATGATTAAAGAAGCCAAAAATGATCTTGATTCTTCATATACAGGAATTAACTTTATTAGATGTCACAAAGAAATAGATCCAAATTTAATTCACACTATATTAGGAAAATCAGATTGGGGTTATGTTTTTGAAGATTATTCTAGTTACTGTCTATGGACAAGTGGATATTGGCTGGACCAATATTACCTACACGTATGTAAAAATTGTTTATCTAAATTTAAAGAAATACATAAAACTTTAAATAAACGTTTATTTGCCTGCTATGACCATTCTCACGAGGTTCACGATGCACATGACATTATTTTGAACGTATACCAAAAAAAGTATAATTGGTGTCACAGCTGCTTTAAAAGCGTAGTGTTTGAACTAAAAGACCAGGAATCTTGCAGAGATGCCTTACATGATAGGTCTAGAAATAACATCCGAATCCGATTTGATGAATCTGATGTAGACAGCGATATTGAGTTTTAAAAAAAACATCACAGCAAACAAATTACAAAAAAATATATAAAAAGCGTTCATCCGTCCTCCAGTTTCTCTCTATCTATTGTACTAACATTTATATATATATTTTTTTCAAACATGTATGTAGTACTAACATTTATATATATATATATTTTTTTCAAACATGTATGTAATTAGATTTAATAAATGAATATTTATAAAAAAATGTTTTATTGATTTCGTTAGATTTTTCTAGTAAGAAGAGTTCACAACAACAAGATGTCCTGATAGCTTGAGTCGTCAGAGGTGTGCAACATCAGAAGCAATGTTAGTGCGTGGTTGGAGTTCAAAACTTAGCGTGTTCAAAAACAAAAAAAAAACACGCACACACATAATACTAACATTACTTCTGATGTTGTGGCGCGGTTCTTCGGGCTATCAAGACATCTTTTTGGTATTTTTGAACAAAGTGTGCACGTCACGTGCGTCACGTATCACGTCACGTGCGTCACGTATCACGTCACGTGCGTCACGTGTCACGTCACGTGCGTCACGTGTCACGTCACGTGCGTCACGTGTCACGTCACGTCACGTGTCACGTTACGTGACGTATATCATAATGAAACGACAGATATGCATTTTTACAAAAACTTTATTAAAATCGTTCAAGATCATTAGCGATCCTATGTCTATAGAAAAATATATGTTGTCCTAACGCTATATGTTGTAAAGTACAGCCTACGAGCTTAAATGTATACAATTTTTGAATAGCATCTGAAAACGTATAATTTTGATCATTAAAACTAGCTCGAACAATCTTAAGCGCATTATAATAATAGCTTGGAAATTCAACAGTTTCTAGCATAGACATATACGGTACTAAAAGTTCATTATTTGCTTCTAAAAGAGCGTTCACGTCCATTTCTGAGAGGTAGAAACTAATGTTGTGCTTGGTTATTTCGAGAATTTTCGTACTATCATAGATTAGTCGTCGAATTCTGCAATAGTCACCGCACTCGATTTCGACAGGATCATACTTGTCAGGAAGGTTCTTCTCCTCCTCGTCCTCCTCCGTCTCCTTCACCGTTACCACATTGAGCTGGGTGATTAATTGTTCCCACTCATAGGAACTGAAAGATAGTTTCAACCGTGATGAGTTCCACACAATTACAGCAGGAGTAAATGATCTCGCTGGGCTTAGACCGCATCCAATTTGGTATGATCCATTTGGAAACTGCGTGTACAGCAGATAATGGTCCTCGTTCTTGGCCGCTTCTTCGTACCTTTCCAGAATAGCATCCAGCTCACGGTCGTAGTTTACAGATGATTCGTGTGAGCTGCTGGTGGTGAGGTCAAACTCGCTGCAACTTGAACCACTAGCACTGGTATCCATTTTTTTTTTTACTAGCTGCCTGACTGACTGACTGACTGACTGCAACCGACTGAGAACTCACTTTTAGCAGAAACCCCCCCACCCCATACACCTAGACGATCGCATCATTGTCAATCCAACTATTATGTTTTGCATCAAGGCCAAGCCATTTGACGTACATTTTTTTACCTTTACGACGTAAAACTTTTTCAACTAAATAAACATCTGGATTGGCTGTTTTCTGTAATTCTTCGTCATAAAAGGCTCCTTTGATCGGTGCACCTTGCATATCTTCGAGCATGTACGTTGCAGGGTTGGTAATATTAATTTTAGTAACTTTAAATAATTCCGTTGTCCAGCTTGGAACGTATCCCTTGTCGAATAGCATTTTGGTTTTGCTGATGCGTACAATGTCACCAACTTTAAACTTACGCGGGCCCGCGATTTTTAAATGAGTATATTTTCGATTTAAGATACATTTTTCGTTGGATTTATTAATTTGTGATGGTTTACATCCGATGGTTTGATGACGTGTTCCATTGTATTCATTGGTAATGCTTTGTAATATATCAATCCATTTATACGATCCCATTAAGCTAAAGTATTTGTAAAGTTTATTTTTCAACGTCCTTATGGCTCTTTCAGCAATGGCCGCTTTCTTGATGCTATATGTACTATAATGATTAATATCATGCTTCTTCATTAAAGTTTGAAATTTACTATTGTAAAATTCTTTACCTTGATCAGATTGTAGATTTTTCGGCGTACGTTCCGTATGTGCGAGGATATCCGAAAACGCACGAGTTATCTCCTCACCCGTCTTTGTCTTTAACGGTCTAGTCCACATAAACTTGGAAAAAGAATCGATTACGACGAGAATTAATTTGAAATTTTTATTTTGATGAGCATAAGGTCGCATTTCAGCCAAGTCCGTCTGCCATAAATCGTCTAAGCCTTTAATGATGGTACGTCGTCTTAGATAATTTTTTCGAGCAGGCTTGTGCAGCTCGTTAACTAGTTGTAGCTTCTCCTTGGCGTACGTCATCATGTTTTAACGCTTTAAATTGTTGTTCCATCGGCTTTATACGCTTAGCAAGATCGAATGTTTTCAATGATATATATGATGTGCGTCCTTGCAAAAGTTGTAATTCAGAGGATAAATCAATGATATTTTTCCGTATTGGAGTCAAATCGGTATGAGACTTAATTGTAGCCAACTCCTGTTCTATTCTTGTTGTTATATTTGCAATAGAGTCATCTACATATTTTTTTGTTGCCATATGTTTACCAGAAGTAGGCGGATTTCTCGAAATAAACTCTGTTATTTGATCTGTTTTTGCTGTTATTTTTTTTAAATCAATCACTGAAGTATCTACGTATTTTTTAGTTGCCGCATCTGAATTATCTGTGGGATCTTTTATATTACACAACTTTACGTTCTTGAAGTCAACATTTCCATCAGAAGTATGGGGTAGTGTTAACTTTGGCGGTGTACGCATATACGGAAGTGTCTTTTGTTTATCAAAGCGACGTCCGAATTTATCAAGACTCATCGTGTAAATGAAAGACCAAGGAACTAGATTACTGTATTATATTAGCTTCTTTTAGCTCGTTGAGGATGGCTACTATTTCATTATCATGCGACGTATTGCCAGCTTCCTGAGATGCCATAAGGAGTTTAAGTCGATCGATTAATTCATTGGGATCATCCCAGTACACGTATTCGATTGGTTCCTCGTTGTATGTCAAGTAATCACCGATACCTTTTCCTGTTGGCGGTTTTGATGTTGATGATGTTGTTGTTGTTGTTGAGGGAGTGGATCTTGTTAATGATCGACTAAGTGGACTACGTATTTTTGTAGATGTTGATCGTGTGACAATTGTACCTTTATTTTTCTGCACATCTTTAAAGAGAGGCTTAATAATGTGATTATATTTAAATCCTGTCGAACCTTTTAGGCGTCCAAGCGAATCTAAATGAACACCGGTACTTTGCAATAGATTTTTATAGGGTTGTAAATCTGCATCTGCATAGTTTGGGTCATTATAGAATAAAAGTTGATACAGCCCAGGTGTGCCACGAAACCATGTACCTGCTAAGTTTGTCCCCTCAGGTAATATCTGTATTTGGCCAGTCGCTCTATCAAATTTAATTCGGCGTTTACCTAACATCCAACCAATGTTGTCGGTATATATAGGTCCATAATTTTTATCAATTTTATCGTTTTGTGTCCAAAAATCTTGTAAATAATTATGGCTTATTGGGGGATATTGATCTAAGTATTCTTCTATTGCTTCTTGTGAAAAATCAGCAGGACGCATTTCTTCAGGTAGTGGTGGTGGTGTTTCAGGTCTCGGCGGTATATTACCTTGTTCATCAGTTGAAGCCACGTCTTCTAAATTGAGATAGTTTGGGTTCTGTGTGAATACATCATCATCATCATCATCATCCTGTTTCAATTTTTCCTCTTTTTTAATAATAAATGAAGGATGCTGCTGAGTCTTAGCTATTTGCTTAAGAGGTTCAGATATTGGTTTGAAAAGTTTTCTAATAGATTCATCTTCTGCAGTTCGACCTAACTTTAAAGTAAGATACTTTTTACGTATAGCTCGAGCAAGTTCTGCGATCTTTCTTTTATGACTAGCAACGGCAACTTGGTCCTTTGACATCATGTTACTGAATGATGGCGTACATGATAAGCCTACAATTTTATGTACTTATCAAATCCTACTCTGTATCGACCATAATTAAGAGGAAAGTCTTTAACAATAACTAACGTACCGTACTTTTCTGCCCAACATTCCGAACACATCTTTTTGAATTCATCAAAAGTAACATCTGGAGATACATGCTCATCAAATATATGTTTTAGATTAATTTCATCCTGCTTAAATAGTACTATAATGTTACAGTTGTCTCGTATGAGCTGTTTTGGAATTTTAGAGTATGTTTGGCAGAGATATGCAGCATCGATATCTTTATGACGACACATGGAGTAATACTCTCGAATTTTCTGCTGACCGTCACACGACACGTCGTCAAATATGAATATAGAGCTATTTTTAGCCTTACTTGGACTTATAATTTCCTCGTTATCCTTAAATGGGAAATAGCCAACACCCTTAGCAGCGGAAATCACTTCTTGAAGCAGTTGATACTTTGGTTGATACAACGATTTTGAATAAACGTAAACATTTTTAAACTTAGCACCGTTTGGATGGAAAAGCAGCGCCAGCATTACGTTCGTTTTTCCACATCCGCTTGGTCCGCAGATGATAGCGCGAAACGAATTCGGTAACAATTTACCATGTTTACTATGTTGAGTTTTTGCTGTAAAATCCAAGTTATCAATGGGTAATGACTGCTCTTGTTGAACAACCTTCATCGTGTGGCGTTCGAATAGGGAATGTGTAAAAGTATATATGTAGATATTGCTAACGCATCATCAACAGTTCTCATGTTAACGTACAAGGGTGAAGGTGTTGTAAACTCTCTGATAAATAATCTTCCGATAGAACTCCACGTACCTTCGTATCAGTTCCTGGGACGTAAGTGTGCGACAGATTAGGATATTTTTTTTTTCATTCTCACACATGTATATGTATATTTTCAGCGGGGACTAAATTAAAGAAGAGGTTAGCACGAGGAGATCCTGGAAAGAACCCATTGGATCGTGCTGCAAGAGACCACGATATTGCATACGCCTTATACAAAAATTTGAAAGACAGACACAAAGCTGATTGGATTCTTGAGAACCGAGCCTGGGAACGTGTAAAAGCACCTGACGCTTCACTAGGAGAAAAGACTGCAGCTTGGCTAACAACCACCGCAATGAAAGTTAAGCGAAAATTGGGTATGGGGCAGAAGAAATCATCTTTTCGACGAGGTGTTCTCACGAAAATCACAAAGTCCTTGAAGAAAAATGCTCCCACCACCACGACATTAAAAAAGTCTGCATTGGTTGCTCTTAAAGCGGCAAGATTAGCGGTGAAGAGTGCAGGTGGAAAACATAAAGTTCGACTACCGAGAATAATTCCGATCGAAGGAAAATCTGGGGGATTCCTACCCTTGATCCCCCTTTTCGCCGGATTAAGTGCCTTGGGGGCGCTCGCAGGGGGAGCTGCAGGTGTGGCCAAAACGGTCGTTGATGCCAAGAATGCACAAAAGAAATTGGAGGAAGACCATCGCCATAACAAAGCTATGGAGTCTTTGGGCAAAGGATTGTATTTGAGAAAAAATGCTAAAGGTGGTTATGGGTTGTACCTCAAAAAAAAAACTCAAAAAAACTAAACATCAAGCTACCCAAGAAAGCGCTTTATGATTATGAAATAAAGCAATATGCGAAGCTCTTGAACATACCTCATTTCCGAGGTGTCTTCATGCGTGACACTTTACCACGAGACGGTCCACGTAAAAGAGAATGCGCCGTCGTGAACTTAGATATTTCACAAAACAACGGAACTCATTGGGTAGCTTATAAAAAGATAAACAACAACGTTGAGTATTTCGATTCATTTGGTAACCTGAAGCCTCCACAGGAACTTGTTCGATATCTGAAAAACGCTAAAATTTTCTACAACAACGATCCTTACCAAACTTATAATCAAGTTAATTGCGGACAATTGTGTTTGAAATTTCTATACAATAACAATAACAACAACAACATCGATGGATAATAAAACATTATCGGAATTTACATTAGAAGAGTTTGAGAAGAATATTCCGCCGCTGGAATATTTAATAAGCAATGTGAGACCTGCAGAATTGTTGAGTATATGGCACAAACTGCCTGCAGAATACACATCCAATTTTGATCTTCAAATACGACTTCCATGCTATGTTCACTACAACAGACCTGATTGGGCAACACATTGGGATGGACCGGCTACTGCTCAAGCAAATTGTTATTTCTGTAAATTATCCATTCGAAAATAAACAAAAAAAAAAACTTGAATAAATGCTTAGTA